TCAGAGACAGATCATATTCCTCAGACTGTCCGCTGTGAAAGCCTCGGGACGGGGCGCGTTGGAAGAGCCAGGTAGAGTTAGGTAAATATCCGGGACAAGTTTCTCATCCCTGGCTGCGCTGCTGGCTCCGCGCGGCCCCGCCCCTCCGCCGCCGCGCGCACGCGCGCTCCCTGTGGGATGCGCGCTACAGGGGGCGCGCTGCGAAGCTTAGCGAATGCAAACTAAACAAGTAGGAAGAGCACTCATCTGCGTAAAAGTAGTTATTCCACACTGTAAAAAAACAAAAACAAAACTCCATTACAAGTGAAAGTCCTACATTGAAAATTATAATCATGTAAAAGTATGTAAGTATCTCAAAACCATTAAAAACCAATTTAAATTAGGCTATCAAAACAATTAAACAGAAGAGCAGCAAATTCTTACACCTTAGAAGCTGGACCATGAAAAGTTTGCATTTGCATGAAAAATGTCAGGATAGCTGAAAATTAACTGTCAATCAACTAATAAATTGTTTCAGCTCTACTTGTAGGCTATATACTACATAGGCTATCTTGTTCAATCCAATCTATAACTTTGTATCATATTTCATAAGGTCTTGATACAGTATGTTTTAATTTGTAAAGTAGCTAGTAACTAAAGCTCTCAATTAATTGTAGTGGAGTAAAAAGTACAACATTTGTCCCTGAATTATAGTTAAGTGGAAGTATAAAGTGGCATGAAAAGAAAATGATAAAGATAGGTGATAATAATCAAGACATTGTACTTAATTAAGTAATGACAGTACTTGAGTAAATGTACTAATGTGCTTGTTGTTATTTCCTTTATTTTTTATTCAGTATTATATTGTTATATAAGAAATAGTAGCCTATAGTTTATCATACAGTAACAGAGGGTTACCATATATTTGTTTTGATTTTAATTTCATTCTATAGTTTATAGTTTTATCTAGTTTATTATAGAGGAACACCAGTGATAGAAAATCAAAATTGAGTGTGTGAAGCCTTCATCTGCTTCAGATCAGAAGATTTACAGACATTTATTTGTCCTTTTCACTGGTGTGATTGGGGTTAAAGGCCAAGGTGCTGGTTTTGTCCATTTATATGAAGATATAGAAATCCCAAAGAAATAGGAAAAATAGAAGGAGTTCCTCTGGTTTGCTGTCACCATCTTCAGGACAGATGGAGTACTACTGCTGCCATGTAACTATCCAGCACAGAAAATCTACTGTATGAAGAATATTGCATTAGGCCTATATCATTCAATCACCAGTAATAACTCCAATAATGACCTTTTTTAGTGATCTGTAACAAACTGATGGAAATGTTGTTATTTTATAAAGCATGTTTCTTTTATTGAATTATTATTGGACATTCTATATGTTGTTGCACATCCAGCAATATGTGTGTGTTTTTAATGTTTCTCCCATAAAGAACACACATGCCTTAAATTAGATCTCATATTCATTTTCTATACTCATAATCATGCTATTTCTATGGAGACCTCTTTGTATACACTTTAAGTTTTCTACCTCTCCCGCACAAGCTTTTGTTTATATTAAATTACTGTATATCTATATATACTGTATGTAAAGAAAAGTATTTGTCAGAGGGTTTCATATAAACATTTTAAATGATTAAAAAGTGTTTCAAGGAAAATACAATACAAATGTGCATAGTGCATAGTGTTTTTTCGTCTTTACTCCACCATTAATGATTTCACAAACCCTCAGATTTATAACATGAACCTTTGGAGGGGCGTGACCCCTAGGTTAAGAACCACTGGACTAAATTATCCAACTGCATGTAAAGTGATTAAAACACACACATCTAATAATGTCATACACATGGGTGCTTTTATTTTTGATACTTAAAGTACATTTTGTTGATAGTAATTCTGCACTTTAACTTCAGGAGTTCTACTTGTATTCTACTTTTATATTTGTTATATTAATGTATTGTTACTTTTACTGAGTACTTCTTCCTGGTTGATCTGGTATCTTTTTGGTGGCTTTCCTGAACACTGTTTGACTGTTGAGATGTGTGCTTGGTGTTCAGTGTCACCTGTTGCATGCCTGCAGAAGCCAAAAACCAGCCACAACCAGTTTGCATGCTGTCAGGGTGATGGGACAAGAGGTTGCAGTCTGAGGGCGGGCAGTCAGACTAGCAGAGACTGGTTCACTTCAGGGTGGCAGGGGCTCTGGCTCTCCCAACCCACCACCACTATAACAGAGAGGATCCTCCCCCTGTTGCTGTACCAAGGATCAGCTTTCTGCAACAGTAATCAAGACACCCTGTACTAACTCTGTCCTGAACCCAACAGCTCCAAATTTAGACACCATGACACAGGGACAAACCTGGCATTATTTCAGTATCTGCACTTCACGTCCCATTAATCTGATTCACACCCGCTTACTCTGATCTCACACTCAATTCCTCTGGCACTTATTTCCAATTTATGAGGATTCTTCAAGTTAAACCTTTGGGTTTAATTTATCTTGTGACAAAGCCCAGTCACTCCTTTAATTGCCCATATGTGTGTATTACCTATAACATCTTTTGTTTTCACTGAAGTGTGAGATACATTTTGTTCCACTACATCTCTCTCCAAAGAATTTGTTTACGACTAACTGTGCCAAACTCAAGTTCCTATTTCTATTTCCACTTATTATATAATTACATATTCATATAAATTTGCTTATGTAATGTAATCTCATACTTTCATAGAATGAGTGTAGGAACAGCTTTGATATAAAATGACAGGTCACTATGACTGTATGTGATATGCTGCAGGAGTTTGGTTGTATATCACAGGCATTAAACTGGGTCTGGTTTGGACAGGCCATTTCTCCAACAGGCTGGGCGGCTGCCACATGACACAGGAAGACACATATAAAGAATTGTCATGTGCTGGAATGCTGTCATGAATGAACACACGTAGTATAGTTTCCATGACCCATTAACTATCCTTAGCTTCAAGAGGAATGTGGGCTCCATAAAACCCCTCTCATAAAATGGATATTCTATGTATGCTGGAGTGTGTTTGAAATGCCCCCAAAATGACATAAACCAGTCTGTGAATCAATTATCTATTGCTGATTATACTGCTGATTTATTTTTTGTTGTTAGTCATATAGGCTAATACACACACACACACACACACACACACACACACACACACACATTAATTCAGTAGATGTCCTACTATCAGTGTTGCCACCCACTCACAGACTTACTGGTGGTATGCAGTCCTCCCTCTAACCACCTGTGACTGGAATATGTGAGGAGAAACCCATACCTGTAACAAATACGCCAACAGATACAGAAAGAAAGAAAGAAAGAAAGAAAGAAAGAAAGAAAGAAAGAAAGAAAGAAAGAAAGAAAGACTTTTTACAAAGTCGTAAAAAAAGTTCCCTCGACAAGAAAGTCAGTTGGGTTACTTTGCAGACTGCATGGTCACAAGGCACTGTCAGGTCATGAGCGCCCAGTTCCACTTTTCACAAGGGAGCATGAACTCACTATGTTGCCTTCATGTGCCAGCAGCTTGTCACCTAAAGAGCTGAAGTATATTACAACTTGCTGTGCATTCAGAGACCACACTTTTCACCTTCCCATCCCTCTCTTTTGACTGCAAAAAAATGACACATAATAGTACAGGAGTTCATTTTACAGGCCTCTTAACACCTATTTTGTCTTTCAAGCACTTATTGAGTCACTGATATATATGTCTGACCTTCTCACTTACACTTCAGTCGCATCAGGTAGTGGTCTTCTAACTGAGACTAAATAAGTTCCACATCTGGCCAAAAGGTGCTTTTGTTACTCTGGTCCTCGCTGGAGATCTTTGACACCTGTTTCCACTTTCAAAAGCAAACTGAAAATATTTCTGTCTGTTCTGTGCAGTATAGAATTTGATTTATTCATAATAATTGAATGATATCTCCCAAGAATAAAGATCAATAAATAAAGGAAATGAAAAGTAAATAAAGGCAATACTTAAGGTGGGTGAGTGTTTGCATTTGCATTTTAACATAAATACAAATGTTCAAAACTGAAGTTATCAACAATCAGTTACGAAAATCAACTTCAGTACCACTTTCAAATAGGACACCATTTATAGAGCTTTATAAACTGTAATTTATGGATTAATTAATGGTTAATAGATCATTTACTAATGCTTTATAGATCAGTTATAAGCCATTAATAAGAACAAGTTTTTTGCTCTGTGATCTCTTTAGTTCATCAGGGAGACCTCACCAATGGACCGTTTGACCACCTATCATCTGGAAAAGAGCTGTATGACTAGAATCCATTGATAAACTTCTTATTAGCATTTGCAGCTGCAGACTTGATGGACTGAGGTACTTTTTATTAACCATTTACTAACATTCATAATTGCAGGTGACTAAACAACCGACAAACATATTTGGCCAAAGTCCTGATATACTAATGAGGTACAAAAAGTATCTCAATACTAAGTTCCATGTCCCACCTGACTGAGGTGGCACAAGGCTTGCAGCTCCATGAAGTAACATGTAAGTGCCAAAGCAATGACATTTTTGGGGGGCGATGGGGAGGTGGGAATTTTCTGCAACATAGCATCCCAAAAGGTGTTCTCCTTAATGGCTTATACCCGATCTATAAAGCATTAGTAAATGATTTATCAACCATTCATAAATTACATCTTTTAAATAAATTGATGCCTTATCTGAAAGTGGTACCATTCCCAAATGAGCTCCCTTTGTTTCCCATTAAATGTTGATTCTGCTGCAAAGCTGCCCTAGTTCTGCTCCTAGACACAGCTCAATACTAAGAATGACTGTCCTAGATTCTGTTCCAGATGCTGACATGGAAAATTTAAGGATGTGGGGGTGAGTGAGCAACTGACTGTCGGCTATGAGCGCACACATCACAATTGTGACTTCTCCGAGGGTACGTAAATGCGACATTGCCCGTACTCTGCGTGTGTTTTACGTCAACGGTCTTTAACAGAGTAGCAGGACTCTGACGGTGTGGGACAAGCGGGACGGCCCTGCTGCAGGACAGTTCGTGTTCACCGGTCACCAACCTGTCCTATCTTCACAAAACTTCTCAGTCAGTCAGACAGCCTTCATCCAGATGACCGTGACTCAAGACCGGCCGATGACCTACGCCAAAATGAGAGGGCTTGTGTCGTTTTTCTCAGGTGAGGCTCAACTAACCGGCGTTTTTTTTTCTTTTTTTACGTCGGGTAAACCGTTAACTGTAAACTAGCAAATCATACGTCATAGACAGATACAGAGAAGTTTAGTTAGAAAAATCCTGCTACAAGAGACAAAATGAGTATAAAATATCATAGGCCTATTCAAGTGATTAATCAAGGCTTGTTCTCTTTAAAATATAAAAAAGAAAAAAAGAAAAAAGAAAACATAACCCAAACGTTTGTTTTAATAATTTAATGCTTTCATTGTAGTATGTTCAAGTCATGAAGCTGACCTACTAAGTAGCCTACATACTGCTGTTGAACTACAAACCCTCTGCCTGTGTCACAGCTCTGCTCAAGGGGAAGAAAGTTGGCCTCAGTGACCTCTTACACAAACTTGTTTCCAGTCAACAACTCTGCCAACAGTAAGTTAGGAAAAATAATCATTTGTACAATGTATTACTTTGTGTTAGAAAAAAAAAACTCCAAGTAACATGTCCTATTTTTGACCACTTGATTTGAAGCTTGGACACCCAGAAAATCCTGCAGCGACAGAGCAAACTGAGAAAGGAGAAGGACGAGAAAAGCGCTGTGGTGAGTACAGAGAGGAGGTTTTTAAAAGACTGTGCTGAGTGTTGACAGGAGATGAAACCAAATCTGACCTCCTGACCGTTCATGTCCCTCTGTGTCTTCTTTCTCCTCAGAGCTCAGTGAACACAGAAACCTCTCAGTAAGTCATTTTTCCCACTGACAGAAGAAAACTTTTGCTGTTTTGCTTCATATTACTGTAATAATACATTCATTATAATTAAATTATTAGTGACAGTTGAAGAGTATACCTTATTATGTAGTCCTGTGTATCTTTGTATCGTAACGTATATCTGAATGTTTTCTGTTGCTGTATTAATCAGGATGAAGCCATCAGACTTTGACTACCTCAAAGTTATTGGCAGAGGAAGCTTTGGAAAGGTAGGAGTTGTCTATCCTTGAAAGTTTCTGTTTTTCTTCCAGAGTTTGGTGCTTAAACACTGAATGTCATATTTCAAACTTTTACAGGTGCTGCTTGCAAGACATAGAAAACAAGGAGGCTACTATGCTGTCAAAGTGCTGCAGAAACAGATGATTGTCAAGAGGAAAGAGGTTAGAATCTATCTATCTATCTATCTATCTATCTATCTATCTATCTATCTATCTATCTATCTATTTATTTATCTATCTCTCTATCTATCTATCTATCTACTCACTGTATCTGTGTCTCTGCAGCAGAGGCATGTGATGGTTGAGAGGAGCGTCCTGCTGAAGGGACTGCAACATCCATTCCTGGTGGGACTCCACTTCTCTTTCCAGACCCCAAATACACTCTACTTTGTCCTTGACTATGTTAATGGTGGGGAGGTATGTGTATGAAAATGACTTCTCTCTGTCAAACCGTTTGATGGTTAATGAAAATTCAAACATAATGTTGTTTTGACTCAGAGTAGGATGTATACATATCAAGAATAAAAACAACAGAATTAGCTACATACTTCTCAAGACTGTATATATAATTGAATGTTTAAGATGCTACAAAGAAACCAGCAGTCACCAAAACTGGGGTCAACCTGTTGTAACCACTCTCTCTATGGTTCTGCTGTCCTATTGAATGTCATTGTCATTTATGAAATCTGTGTATTTAACCACTCATCTGTTTGTCCTCAGCTTTTCTACCACCTTCAGAGAGATGGATCATTTCCTGAACCCAGATCTGCTTTCTACACCGCAGAGATGGCTATGGCGCTGGGCTACCTCCACTCTCTTGACATTGTTTACAGGTACATACACGCACATATACATGCATATAGACACAGCGCTGCAGAGACACTCTTCCAAGTTTTCCTCGGCTCTCTGCTTGCTCACTTTCTTTGCTCATGTTTGATTTAAACATGTTCAGCATGTTTAATTTATCTATGCAGGGAAATCCCAATGAAATGTTCACTTTGAGAGCACTGCATAGAAAATGATTTCACAAAAATACCACCAGCCACCAATGGCCTCCAGCAGCACATTAAAAAGTAAAGAGTAAAGAAAACGAAGGGAAACAAGGGAAAACTGAAAGAAAAACAACAAGATTAGTTAATATAAGTTTTTGCCAGAACTTGTAGACTAAACCAACTTTTATTCCCATCTGTTTCTCTTCCAGAGACCTCAAACCAGAGAACATCCTGCTGGACAGTGGCGGTCATGTGATGCTGACTGACTTTGGGCTTTGTAAAGAAGGTGTGGCCATAGGTGGGATTATGCATACATTCTGTGGGACTCCTGAGTACCTCGCTCCAGAGGTGCTACAAGGCCACACATATAGTCCAGCAGTGGACTGGTGGGGGCTCGGTGCTGTGCTTTTTGAGATGCTCTATGGACTGGTAAGTAATGGTGATATAATCTTTTTCCCTTTTATCATCTCACCTTCCTCAGCAGCTTCACCTTACTCCATCTCTCTGTTCTCCCTCTCAGCCTCCATTTTACAACTGCATCAAAGCAGAGATGTTTAAGAACATACTACATGCACCCCTGCAGCTACGTGGTGGGGTTTCTCAGGCAGCACGCTCACTGTTAGAGGGCTTGCTGGAGAGGGATGTCTCCAAACGCTTAGGGGGAAGCTGGGACTTTGTAAGTGCATACACAAAGCAGAGAGACAAACTGTGATCCACACAAACACACATAACCACAGAGGATCTAATGTTGATGTGTTTGCAGGTGGAGCTGCAGCAACATTCCTTCTTTGCCTCCATCAACTGGGATGACCTCCTGGCTAGGAAAGTGAAGCCCCCGTTCATCCCAAAAGTGGTATGAGTGATTCAGAAACGAGTGGAGAACACTATTGTTTTTAATCAATGCACAGTGTACCTGAGTGTGTGTGTATTCCTCTCTCTGCTCCAGACTGGTCCCTGTGATATCAGCCACATCGACCCCGAGTTCACGCTACAACCTGTCCCTGCCTCCGTAAATGAGCGGTGCCAGGCGGGCGGGGTCAGCGAGGCCTTCCCAGGATTCTCCTTCATGAACCCAACGGAGTACATGGCAGCCCAGCTGGTTTCATAACAATGCCAAATCCTCTGGCAGCATGTTTGTTCAAATATTTATTTTTTATGTCATAAATTATTAAATCAAAGTTTATTTTTAAACACGAGCAAAAAAACTCTTCTTACTCTAATGCTGCAATCCACTGTATGTTTCATTGGTTACACTAAATTATGTGTATATATATTTTTGGTACTGTTATTTTAAGTATTGGTATCAGTTCATAATGTGAAATAGGCTGGTAACTATTTCACAAGTCCTTGCAACCTTAATGTGTAAAGGGATGAAACAATAAACACCTAATTCAAGGAATTTTATTGTTTAATATTTAATATTTATATCTTTAAATTATACTGCAAACATGTATTGCAACATTCCCATTCAGCTATTACATTCACAGCTTACAAAGGTACTGCGAATACTTCACAGGCTGCCTTGAAATCCTGCATAGTGACTAAGGCATTGTGCATCACAAGAGAAATACAGTGAACATCTCCTTGTGGTATTTACATGACAGAATCGGATGGTATTCTGTTGACAACCCTTAAACACAAATCAGACCCAGCGCTGACTTTACGTGTGATGGTGAAACCTTTTTTTAGTGACAGAAAACAGAGAAAGCCCATCACCACGGAGAATCTAATGGGTGTCTCAAAGAAGAGAGCATCTGGTCTGATCCTTTCTACTCCACTTCACAAGGCTGTTTCTGAAACAGTTTATTCAGTTACTTGTCTGTGTGTCAGTAGATGCTGAAGGAGGCGTGGCTCTGGTCACTCTGGCAGGTGAAATAAGCTATCAGCTGACCATTGCAGATCATTAGAAACAAGCCACTACCTATGGAACAACAAAAAGGTAGAGCATTTAAGAGAACTGAGCTCACAAAATTAGATATAATAACTTACAGATAAAGTGCCAGTCATGTTTGTTTTACCCAAAGCCAGCCACCACTGCCACACCATGGGAAACTCCAACATCACTGCAACACAGAAACAAACTATACAGTTTCACAACACGTGGAGTAATATGTTTGAGTAATCTGGGTGGATACATTGTTAGATTTCTGCTCACCAAGGCTGGTGATCATTACATGCAGAAGTGTGACAGTGAGGGCGTAGTCCCACACCCGCCTCCTCACCACTGCAGCAAACAAAAGGCCGCTGCAAAAGTAGGTGAGCTCCAAGGACAGGAGGTTCACTGAGGGAGACCAACACAGCAGGACAATACATTATCTGTACAAAGTTCACACTCATTGTTTATTATGTTGGCTGCACGAAGAGTGCTCACCCAAGTATTTGGAGTTGGATTCAGCAGGTTCAGTCTTAAAGTCAAATGGAATCAGTCCGTCAAAGTGATCCAACCTAAATGAGGAGAAATTACTTTAATTGGTGCTCTTGTATTATCTACCTGGCCTCAGGTCAAGGGAGTCTCAATAAATAGGCCAGACAATATGGAAAAAGTAATGCAAACGCAAATCAAATACCGCTGCAAAGGTGGTTCCATGGTCAGATTAATCTGGTAATGTTGGGGCCCTGGAGCAAAAATAACCTTATCATTACCTTTAAGTACCCATTAAATACAAAGTTCAAACTACGCATGATCCAGTAAAAAAAGAGCAAAGGAAAAACAAAACAAAACACTTTCTTCCCTGGTTTGTATGTGTTATTATTTTTAGACTGTTTTATTTAATAATATTCACCTTGTAAAGATGACAATAAATAAAGTTAATAAAAGTTTCTAAAAGGCTATTCTGACAGGAGAACCCTCTACAAAAGGGCGTCACATTGAAGGAAAGATGCAGGACACAAAAAAACATTACCATTTACCATTACCAAATTGCAGTTCATCAATTTCGGATGTAGAGTGAACCTGCAGCTCTTGGGGATCAGGGCCCCTGAGGGTCTGGAAGTTATGATCATCATCACATTAGGTTTCTTGCCTTCTATAGTTTCAATTTGTGTGATTTGTGGTTGTCATTGCAGAATCTGGTACACATCACAAATTCTGAGACAGTTTATTGATTTATTTATTAGATAACTCTGCAGTTATTTTGATTGATACACTTGGAACTTGGTCACAGATATTTAGGCCTAGAAGTATCAATTAGTAAAAGCACTCGACAGGAAAATTGACTGCCTGAGTGAAACACTATTATATACTGTTAAATATGTACTGCTGATCCATAAATGTGCAACTAGCTGTAGCTGTATAATTTGGTAACACTCTATTGTACAGGTCATTCAGCTTCCGGTAATTTATTTGAAAGGAAGTGACACCACTACAAACTAAGCTGAAGATTCATGGAAATAACTATGTAATTTGGTAATAATTATAAGAAAAAAAGGCACATTGTTCAACTAGTACCCTTCCAATTAATTAATTCGACTGAACTGGTTATGTTACCCAAATATTTTTACAGTCAGTCATTAAGATTTTACTGTAGTTGTCTTTGTATTTTCAACTCAACTTATTAAACACAGAAACAACAGTCTCCAATTCTCTATAATTTACTATCATTTCTACGAAATGGCCACATATAAATATTTGCTGGTAATTCCAATTAAATTACTGGGAAGTAATATGACCTGTAAAATAAAAGTGTTAAAACCTCTCTTTTTAATTACTTTGTATACTGTTGTTTAATCTGTATGACTATGCCTTATATTCTCACTACATAGTTTATATGAAAAATGTTGGTAAGGAAACTAGTAACTAAGTATGAAGTGGGGGGGTTGGGGATGCTTTGAAGAGTATAGCTGTGCTTGCATGTGTGCCTGTGCGCATGCGTGTGAGGGATTCACACCTGAAGGCACCGAAGCACACACTCCCAATCATGTAGAAAAGAGAGTAAAATATGAGCAAACACAGCAGCAGATTGAAGAGCACGGTCTGTGGGATTGAGACAGAGAAGGAGTCATTATTTCACAATACAGTATCTAATCTGTCTAGTAGGCAACACCACATATTCTCAAGGTATAGCAACAATTACCAAACACTAACCTGAAGCTGTATGCAGTCTTACATATTATAGGCTACCAGGCTGCAGGGGGGAGGGATGTGCACTGTAACAGGCAGATAGCGACTCTTATCGCCTGCAAAGCCTGACCTGCTGCATACAGTTTGGATTATGATAAATGGCAAATTATGTATCTGTATGTTATAAAAAAAAACAGTAACTCTTAACACTAGCCTGTCATATCCTCTTCAATATTTTGTCGCACATGATTTCCCTACAGTCGGTCCCGACTGACAGACTGAGCGACCACAGAGACGCCTATTGCAGGTTAAATCATGACACATTATCTTGTCCTCTTACCTTCGAGTCGACCGCTTTGCCTTTGAATGCCATCTCATGGTTTGTGCTTGATGTTAATACAACAAAAATAATCCAGGCTGCAGCAGACTGAACGACCCGGTTAATCCCTCAGAAACTGGACTTCTCCTGCCATCTAGCGACAAACGCAAGACACGAAGCAGCGCCGCCGCTTTTACAGCCGAGCCTGAACTCATTTCACCTCGTATCAAGGCGGCCTTTGTTGACTGAAATAAAGACTTTTCTCAACATCTACCTGTTAACCAGCAACAGAATTCATAGTTGTGGATATTGTAGCAATTTTGAGCTTCGGGTGCTGTCTGTTTTCAGAAAAATGAAGGAGAAAACGGCGAAATCTGTACCGTATTATTACCGGAGAAACCATAGCCGCCCTATGTGGGAGGGATTGAATACTGCAGGTTAGCTGGAGATAATTTGGGTTGAATATTTAGTATATGGACCACCAGCGACCCAACAAATACTTAACACCAAGCAGACAAGGAATAAGTACCCTGTAGTAATTACGTGATTGACTTTAAATGGAATAGCTGTCACATTAAAATCATAAACCATACATCAAGTAGCATTGAAGTGCCTTAAGAGGTGGTACCACAGTAAACGTCGCAGGAGATTCTTTGCTGATGAATATCAGTGAAAATATAACCTCATTGCCGCAATTTAACATATTAGACGTAGTGCTTCGATAATGTTAGATAAGGATAAAAGGAATGAGTGTATTTATTTTGCCCGACTTCCCTTAACGTTGCTGTTTTTTCACATTTTAGCCCACATAACTCTAGATGTGTATAAAGAGCCAAATCAGTCCGGACTCTAGTGTAGCGACGTGTACGCGTGGTTTTGGTTGAAACTGTTACTTCGAGTGATTTTACAGGCCTGAGTATTTAATCCTACACTTGTACACTGGCGCTTACAAACTGATTATCGCCTGTTCTCGGGTGGTGTGTTCATAAACTGGCCGTCAAACGGTTGTAGACGGTTGTAAACCGAGGAGAAAACAGCCGGTTTCGCCACAGATGAACCGAACGCTCCTGGACGCTAATGAGACAGACTGCGGTCCCTGCGCTCCGCTGATACACACTCGTACTTCTTATGTGGGGGGGCACTTCTGAGGCTGCTACGGCCAAAGGGTGAAACATGACCCCCAGTCCGTTGGTAGTATTGGTTATATCGGCAGTGAACTGAGTTTTGGGCGTGTTATGAGTGCACACAGGCCTGGTATTGACCACCGATAGTGTACTGAACTTTTCCGAGACCCAAAGTTGTCAGGCAGCGCATCTTACACGCATGCGCACCCCTCTTCTATCCAGCTCTAAATAAGAGTTAAAACAGAAACGAGGTGAGTTCCACATTTTTAAACAATACGGGCGCTAATACTCATTTATTGCACTTAACAGTGGCGAAATTTGAAAAACCGACCTTCGTTTTGCCAATTGGGGTTAGTTCTCATTATTTCCACTCTGATTTAAAACGGCGAGAATAAATCGTTTTTTTCAAGTTTCTATTGAAGAAATTAATCAAGCAACAATGTTGAAGCTCGTAACAGGAGCGTCGTGTTATTGCGAGTGTGTGCGATGTTCTGCGAAACGTTAGCGTTTGGTAAAATGCATTTTCCTATTGTTATTAACCGGGAAACTTATTTATTACAGATTGTCCTTAGCTGGCTGCATCCAGTCACAATGCTACGGCTAGCCGTGAAGCTATCCTCCGTTCAGCTGGACGGAGTGGAGCTAGCTGACTGTTAGCTTCATGTCAGCGCTAGCTAGCAACCTGGGCTGACATTCCGTGACAAGGGGAAAGTGAAGAAAATAACCAGAGTGAAGGAAAACACCAAGTCAGGAAATTACACAGCACGCATTTGGTTTTGTTCGACGCATAGCGGCTTTGCATGATTTGTTTAAATTGGTAACTTGAGTAATTTACATAGTTTAAACGTGTTGGTGGCCTCTTCCTATGCTCCGCCATTTTGTATAAGACGAATGCTAATCATGGGCGCTCTTACATACACTTTATTTATGGACAGAATAAAACTGAGGTATGAGCTGCAAAGTCAAACTTAATCAAGATCCATTAGCTCGGGCTTTTGTTTACTTTTCACATGGTTATGGCCACCGTGCAAACAGAAAATACCACCTTAATTCATTGTTGATCATGCGTCAACACTAAAACGTTATATCATAAAATTAGTCGAATTGAAACGTTTTTAAGTTTGGCCAGTCAGTGCACAAAACAGTGTTCTCCTTAAAATTGATAAAGAAATAACCCTCTCACTTGTTCATGGCCAGGCAAACAGCCGGTTTTAAGAGATACTGTTAAAACAAGGAAAAGATGAACTTGTGTGGTTAACTTAAAGTTGAGACATCTTTCCTCATGTTTGTCAATGATCTTGATGAAGATTTACCCTAATGAGGCCGTTTGTGCATGTATTTCCCGGTTAGTTGACCAGCAAAACAATATTATTATTGACTGTTTTGTCTGAAATCGAAGTGCATGGTGTATCCTGCAAGCCAGCACACAGTCGCCATCTGGCGGTGATGCTGCGCGATGCTGTTTACAAGTGCAGGAAGAAACTGCATTTGTAGTTGGGAGCACATTGTAGGTAAAACACTAGGGGGGGGGGGGTCTGCTTCACAGTGATAATCACACGCAGTCAACGCAATAGACACTAAACAGTGTCTTAATTAAAGTCCATGCTGTGGACTGAACCTAATTATTTCACCTGTGTTATATCTCTTGAAGATTTGAAATGCTTTTGTGCCAATATATGACAGCGTTTTTGATCTGACTTATGTTTTTACAGGTTGGGGATATTAGAGGAGTGGGAATGACTGACACTCCACCCAGTGATGGCCCCTCCCAGGGAGCGGAGTTTGACATGATGGGTGCTCTGGACTGGAAGGATGGTATCGCGACGCTGCCAGGCAGCGACATCAGGGTACGAGAGATTTGTTTGTGTTCTTGTCCATTCTTCAGTATTGAAATGTTAATATATCTCTGATTACACTCAGATTTGTAAGAGCATGGTTTCATGCAATGTTTTATAGCAGAGGTGAGCTACCTTGAAGTAAAGACCACATCTGCAAGCATCATAGACGATTAACTTGTTTTTTAAGACTAAATGTAAACCTTCAGGGGAAAAAGAGAAGAAATGCCAATGTTAAGGAGTGTGTATTGCTTAGGCAGTCATTTGGAGACAAGCTGAATGAGGATCATGGTGGCTTACCACCTCGGCTCTGCAGTTTCCTTTGAGGAAACCTGATGCATATCTGTTTTTCCTCCTTTGTGACTTTCAGTTCCGCATGACAGAGTTTGGGACTCTTGAGATTGTCACAGACCTAGAGGTCAAAGGGCAGGTGGCAGAGCCTAACCGTGAGACCTTGGACCCAGCTCCCTCTCACACTCCCACCCCTCCCCCAGAGGGCCAATCACAGACCGGCATAGCCAAAGCTCCAGCCAATCAGAGTCAGCCAGGGTCGTCCCAAGGCAAAGGTATGACAGCGCGTGTTTAACCCTTACAACACTGTTATTATCAAGAATTGCAGTGATTATTTTTAATGCTCTATCCATGTTTTGTACAGTGAACAGCTTCAGTTTCATCCCCTTTCTTCTTCTCTGTCCTCTAGCGCCTGGTCCTGTGCTTCTGTCTTTAGAGGAGGGCCCCAGTGTGGAGGTTGGTCCCAGTGTTGAAGTTGGCTCTAGTGCTGACATGGGCCCAAATGGGGAGCTGTCAAGGTGCCGTGCCTGTGGTGGCCGTGTTTCCCGGGATGCCCTCTTTCAGGGTAAATTCTGTAGCTCCATTTGTGCACAGCCCTCCAGCGGCAGGTAAAACCCCACACTTTGTATTCTCCGATGCCTTTTCATTGTTCAGATTATTTTGGTTTGTAATTTCGCCACAAGCCAAATCTTTCTTTTTTTTAAAGATCGTCTCCAGGGGAAGCGCGAGAGAGTCAGGCAGTGGAAGGAGAGAGACTAGGTAAACGTGTGCGCAAAAAGAGGAAGATCTACATGGATTCTGGTGACGAAGAGGAAGATAACCAAGAGGAACCAGAGGTAAGGAGGAGGATTCTCTTAGGTTTCGTCACCACTGTTTTTATCTTCCAGAGCTACTGGCCCACTCAAGTGTTTAGAACTGTTTTTGCAAACAAAATATCTTCTGGAAAATTTTCCATTCTTATTATTCATCTTTGCTGATGGTGTTGATTATTGATATGTTTCATTCAATTCACCTTTTGTAGGAAAAGGCCAAGACTACCAAAGGCAGGAGAGGTGCCAAAATTGCAAAACTGGGTATGTTATACTGCTACCACTGTAAGGGGAAGGAAGGATGGAGAGAGTTGTTTTCCTGTCTCTGTGTCTCTACTTCCTATGGAAATCTGTAAATGTCTGACATTGTTACCTAAATTCAAGGCCTTAAAGAGTCTTGGACACATCTAAAAACAATGTCGCAGTTTGTTGTTGCACTGTTCTGGAGAAAAAATAACCCAGTAGTGAAGACTGTCCTCTGATGTATCACCAGTAACTTTGTTTTCGAATATTAGATTAGATAAACATTAGTCCCTTTTTCTAATTGGCATTTAAATGTCTTAATTCTAATTTAACCCTGCGTCTCTAAGAGTGATAGTAGACAAGAATGAATGAGAGCTGATATATATACTGGGTTATTTTCTACATATTAATATTATGAGCAATTTCACATGTACATGAAGTATATAGTTATAAATACATTTTTTTCACTAATTATCTGGTGAATTTTCATGCCACGATTTAAGAAACTGTCAAATAATACTTTAAACTGGGTGAAGAGGCATATACCGTATGAATTATGTTTTTGTTTTTTTTTGGCCTATCCTCAGTGACTGCCCCTCCCAATAAGAAGCGGGCATGGAGCTGGCCTGCTTACCTTGAAGAGGAGAGGGCAATCTCTGCTCCTGTTAAACTATTTAAAGAGGTATAATTCCCTACATACAGCTGCCACCTTAATGTTGTTTAGTATAACCAGATATTTATTTTTGTTTATCCAATGTGTGAAACTGATCTGGATGTTCGCAGCACCAGTCGTTTCCTCAGA